CAAACTCAAAATGAAATCTTCAAATTATTTCAGATACTGCACTTCTGATTTTGTGAGCTGTAACCAACAATCATCAAAATTCAAACAAAAGAAATGAAGCTTGTAAGATTTCACGTCACATCAAATGACTATATGAAAGTAACTTTTCAGGATACTTGCATTTTTTGAGATGCACTAGTATATTCCAGTTAATAAACATTTTTTTTTATCATGGCTGTTTTGAATCAACTAGCAAATATTTTATATACAGTGAGGTAGTAAAGTCCAGTGGTTCCCGACTTAAGGGGAAGGCACCCCACAAAGATAATTATTAGAGGAATAAAAAGTTCCACTTTGCAGTTTCCTCTGTCCGTTTGTTATATATGTTGTGACAAATATTCAGAGGCAGGAAATTTTTTGATGGGGTCTAAAAGTTTTGATGAGGAGTGATGATTACACACTTTCTTCTTAAGAAGGTCAGAGCTGAAAAGGCTGAACAGCTTTAATCTTGAACAGCTCGTGCGATTTTACGCTTCAGCGAAAAAAGTAATACATTTAAATTTTTGGAGATTTTAGCCAGAGGTGGGGGATCTGGTTAAAGTCTCCATGGTGGCAGCAAAAAGTATGAGATAGAAGAGAATACATCTGAAATCTATGCTTATGTACATATGGAGGGGTATAAGTGGAGGATGTAACTATGACCTTTTGTTTGTAGCAATTGAGATTAAAGCCGATGTAAAGACGGCGCCGGCTCTCCTGGATCAGTTCTATGAAAAGCGGAGGCTGCTGATCGTGTCTGCACCCAACATGTCGGACCCTGACTACCAGCTCCAGAACATCATGATACAAGTGAGACTTTACTTGATCAGCCCGGTAAAGCTTCTGAAGGCGTTTAATAAGTAACAAGAACCCAATCACGTGTTTCCCCTTTTCCTGATTCAGAAAGCAGATTGTGGATTAGCCCTCCGGCACGTAACCGTGATCGAGCTTCTGGGCTCTCCTCCTCGTGAGACTGGCCGCATTAAAGAAAGTCTTCTTCAGCCTCAAGTCATAGAGGGTTTAAGGTAATAATTTATCTGTTCAACACTTCTACGGTTCTTTTATGGTGACTTTAAAAAATCCATCCTGAAACGACTTTATAAAATTTCCATTTCACTTAACAGTCGGGAGTTATTTTCACAAACTTTAAATGTCAGGAGTCTCCTAATAAAAAGAGTCTCCATTCAAAGATTAACACTTCTAAATATAGCATAATAATCACTTCAATGGGATTTCAACAGACCCGACAGAACATCAGTAATAATCATCTGGCTTTTGGTTTCCCTGAGAAGCACTGCGATGCTTTTGAAGCTGAGCATTTTGCAGTAAAAATAAACATTAAAAAATAATTAATCTTAGGAAATGCCTCGATAAAGATTCTTTCCTAGAACTGTGCAATTTGAGTAAGAAGCATTCCTCAGTTTTTCCAGACTGGAAACTCTTCCTAACCTAAGGTCTCACTGCAGACACACAAATCCTAAAGAGTGCTGAGGTAAACTGAGTGAGCAGAGCACAAATCATCAGGGGAATTCAGACATCAATAAAGGGACATGTTTTATCTCAACATATAGGGATGCAACGATACCAATTTTTTCAAACCGATACTTGGATCTGAGTACTTGCCGATACAGAGTACAAAAACCGATACTTCTA